TCATTCTTGGATTGACATAAAGAAATTTCTGGAACCATTAGATCAGTGTTCTATTACCATAAATGGTGTGATCAGCATTGTACATTTATGGTATATTCTCTGACTGTAGTGTTAGAAGAACTAATACAATCAAATAATAATAAGCTAAAAAGGATACACAAGTTCTATCCAAGGTTAGAAACATCACCACAAGACCTGAAGAATCTTGAAACTCGAACCAAGTCTTTCCACACCCTCTTTTCACCTTCCAACTCAAGATTTTAGAAGTCTTGAAGTATAGTTGGATTGTTTTAGTAGATTAGTTTAGAGTTTTAGCAAGTTTAGCCGAAAGAGTATTAGTAACCACTTTCTCAACATCCTTTTAGATCGCTTCAAGTTACTACCATCTGAGAATAATTATTCGGATGTTGTGGATGTCGTGAATGACGAGCTAACTGCTTATAACTGAAACCTTTGCTTGTTGCAAAAATAATGTAATTTTCTTTTTCCACATAATATAACTTTTATTAAATCCAATTCACAATTTCTGATATTTCTTTATTATATTTTATAAATAAATAGATATATATATAATATAATAATTACTAGAGCTGTTCTTCCCATAGATCACTTTACCAAATTAGAAACAAGAAGAAAAAATTTTTCTGCGGCATTTTCTCAAAACCTTATTAAGTAAATTGATATCCGGCTCTTAAGTAAAGTTATCTAGTACCCCGTAAACTACTTAAAGGAGGTGCGAAGTTTGTCAAAAGACTTCACCACAAGTTATTAGCAATAAACACCAAAAACAACAACAAAGCAGTTTTTTGATTCTTCCGCGAAAGCGGTCTTAAGGACCCCCAATAATCATATAATCAAAAAGATAATACAAATAGTGCTTTAAGCAAAAATAATCAGCAACTACAAGTTTTACATCATATTAAGCCCCAAGACTCTAACAAAAACATGGCCTCCGAAAGCTCTTCTTCCTACTGGAATATTTTTTCTCAGAACACCAAGGCTGCCCTATCTGAAGACACTTCTACTATTAGCTTACCACTAGATCCTGGTGTAGAACACACCAAAAAATTTTTAAATATCACTATGAAAGACTGGTCTAAACTCACATTTTCTGTTAGCTTTTCTGTTCCTGAATATGCTGACAACTTCGTCTTCTACGTCGATATTACCAAATCTGAAAAGATCTCCAACTTAACCAACTACCCCTCACAGTAGTTATGCAGACATGAAAATCTTGCACAATCAGTTTTGTTTGACCTTACATTTCAAAAAAAGCGATATTGTTAACATCAGTGCCAAATATCCTAAACCTACCCGAAATAGTGATTTTGTAACGATCACAAACCTATACAAAGCCAGCATAAACCCTTATCTAAAAGCCAAAGGTACAGAAAATTTAGCCTCAATTCCGTATAACGCAATTACAAATCTTGATTCAGATAATGAGTCTAACAAAAGCAACAATGAGCAAGTTGTACACACAGCTACCAACACCAATCTCAGCTCTTTTCAAAACACAAATACAGATTACACAGACACTAGTACAAGTAGTAATACTACGAACTCTGTGCTAACTACAAATAAGCCCCTAACACTAATACAGTACCCAGACCCAGTACACCTACCAATCAAATTACCCAGTCTATACTCTCGGCACCAAGCTCTAATTATATCCCAGCAGCTTCAAATTCTAAAGTTAATCGCAAAAGACCTAGAGATCTTTCTAATATATCCCGGGCAAAACATTCCGTCATTTTTTCTTCCGAAGTGCAATCTAAAATCAATTTTCCCTGCCACTTGCAGCTAGAGTTAATACCTCTATCCGGATTTATATATCCGGATATATACTATGTCATGTGATATAGCGTGACATAATGCTTTTATATCCGGATATAAATAAATCCGGATTTAAATTTATATCCGGATTTATACTATGATAAAACCGGATTAATCCGGATATAAAAAATATATCCGGATTGAGGTATTAACTCTACCTCTGATTTCTAAAAGAAAAGCTTCAAGATCAATATCTTTCTTTTCTATTATCATCACAACAAAATCATAAACCTTCCTCCAACGTGAAATTTCTGTAACTATTCCATCGGGAATAGATTCTCTAATCAATTTAGTTATTGTCTTATTTCTTTCAAGATCAGAAATAAAAGTTTGCTTTTGTATATCGTAATATAATGTTTCAAATTGACAAACTCTACTAAAAACTTTAGCATAATTTATATCTATTTTAAGCTGTTTTTTATTTTCTTGTAGCTTTTGATGAACATTTCTCCATTCGCTTGAATTATAACTATTCGATATTTTTATTGCTGGTATAGTGGAAGGATATAACAACGGACTTTGACTTTTAATTCGTGATTCAAAAATAGCTGTATTAAATTTTTGCTTTTTATTCTTTGACATTTTTCGAGCGAACGTGCATAATGAAAAAAAGTATTTGGGAACAGCACATTACTTATAAGCTATGCATGTTGATAATCATTATATTAAAATTATGGGATCTTAGTTTTGCATAATCTCAATTTTAAATCTTGGCCAAATTTAGATTGAAAACTACAGTAACTAGCTTACGGATCACATTACTAAAATTTCATTGACTTTTATTGTATAAATTTATATTCAAGAAAGAAAATTTTAAATTAAATATATTATTGTGTGTGTAATTTCAAAATTGACAAAAAAAATTTGCAACGCAGGCAGTGAAAAATAAAAATTCACATACATGAATTTAATATTAAGTGAGTCTATTTTACAAAATACAGGTGTTCGAACTATTCATCACCATATACTATACGCAAAAAAACAAAATTAATCCAAGACGAAAAAATAACAACTTCCAGCCATTTTTTCAGAAAAAAATCTATTATATACCAAAAATCCCAATTTTGACCTTTATTTTTAAATGATTTAAACTTGCTGAAAATAAAAGATTTAAATTTTACTTGTTTTTAATATTTATATCGGCACTAATCCTTCATATTCTGGATATCCAAATCCTCTTATGTAAAAAAAGTTTTTAATAATTTGTATTAAATCTTCTTTCTTTCGTATTATAAATATATCCAAAGGTTTAGGTCGGTCAATCTCAAAAGTTCCATGGATAATTGGCTCATAAGGATTGCTATATAAATATGAATGCTTCGACTTATAGATCCTATAAAAATTTGATAAAAATCAGTACAAACATCTATGTACCAGCTGGAGAAAGCCAAAAATATACTTACGAACATATTATTAAAATTATTATAATCTCAACTAATAATAAAAAAATGAGAATATTTCGGCAAGTACACAATTTCACGAGAATTTTTCTTGCATATTCAGTAATGCAAAACTCAACTTTAGTTTTTGACCTTAATAATTAGTTTTCTTAATAAGTCGCGTATTAGCACGTGCTTTGTTCTTTGTGTTACATTGCTACAATATAATAATACGTAGTATATATTCTGAATTTATTTTTGTTATATATTTTTTTTTAATAAAATATTCCGAATTTATTTTTTTGAATAATATTAAAATTATAAAATAAATTTTTTTTTTTTTTTTTTTTTTTTTTTTTTTAAGTGAGGTCTTTTCCTCAGTTCCTTTATTATTCATTATGCAGA